TGCCCTGCCCGGGAATTGAACCATGGTTCATAGGTTGATGTCAACCACTGAGCCACGCCAGCCGGGCTCCACTTGTTTTTATCCATGCTGCTATTTCAGCCTAAAACAGAGTTTGCAAACTGGTAGACCCTAAATTTTTTTTGGCCCATAAGCATTTTTAAAAAGAAGTAAAACTAGCATTTAAGTGGTGAGATTTAGCATAAACATTAGGATGAACAAAGTTCTTGAAACATAGGATTTGGCAATACTGGGCCGCTTTGCTTGCATAGCAGCAACCAACCAGGGCTGCAGTGCCCGCTGCCCCGTTCTCTCAGGGCACACATTCGTATCCAACCAGCTTTAAAATGCACAATGAGATCAGGCTAGTGGCAGGACAAGCGGCTCCGTCTCTTGGTGTTACACAACATAAAGAACATCTTTCCTGTGATGTCTTCTACCCCCAGACCGTTTAACTTAAATCTCCGACTCTAGATCTAATTCTGTTTAACAAAAATAGCAACCAGAGGAACAAGTTGAAGGACTATGTGAAAAAAAAAAAAAAAAGTCTGTCAAATACAAAAGACCATTCTCTAGGACAACTCACCCAACCTCTTCCATAAGTTCGTGTTACAAAAAAAAAGTGTTGGCCCTGGCTGGTGTGCTCAGTGGTTAGAGCACCAGCCTGCACACTGAAGGGTCTCGGTTCGATTCCCAGTCAAGTGCATGTATCTGGGTGGCAGGTTTGCGTCCCACACCCGGTGGGTCACAGTATGTGTGGGGAGGCAAACAATTGATATATCCTTCTAACATCCATGTTTTTCTTTCTCTTCCCCCTATTGCCTCCTTCCAGCTCTCCCTGAAAAGCAATGGAAAAATATCCTCAGGTGAGGATTAACAAACAACAAAAATGTTCCAAGAACCTAGATTAGGAAAGAGTCGAGACACTTAACGTGGTGTAATGCATAGTTCCTGGATTGGATCCCAGATTGGACAAAAGTTAGCTCTAAAACTTCTTTTCTTGGGACAGTTGGGAAAATGTGAATATAGGTTTGTATTAGGTCAAGAACATAGTAAGTGGTTATTTTGGCAATGTATAAAATGTTGATTTTTTTCAAATCTATGTACTGAAATAAAAAATTAAAGCAACCAACTTGCTCTCCCACACATACTTTTTACCTTAAAAGTTTAGAATGGACCGAAACCGGTTTGGCTCAGACCGGATAGAGCATTGGTCTGTGGACTGAAAGGTCCCGGGTTCGATGCCGGTCAAGGGCATGTACCTTGGTTGTGGGAACATCCCCAGTAGGGGGTGTGCAGGAGGCAGCTGATGGATGTTTCTCTCTCATTGATGTTTCTAACTACCCCTCTCTCTTCCTCTCTGTAAGAAAACCATACATATTAAAATAAAACGTTTAGAAGGGCCCTGGCTGGTGCGGCGCAGCTGTTTGGGCATCTTCCCGTGCACAGGAGGTCGCTGGTTCTATTCCTGCTTAAGGGCACATGCCAGGCGTTTGGGTGTTTCCCTCTCCCTTTCTAAAAGTCAGTAAACCATTCCTTAAAGAAAAGTTTGGAATGGGTTGGTATATTCGTAAAGGACCAAAAAACAAATATTTGAGGCTTTGTGGGCCTAGTTCTGTGTACTGTTGTGACCTAAAAACAGCCATAGACAACATATAAACAAACAGGCATGGCTGTGTTCCAATTTTTTAAAAATATTTTTTTATTAATTTCAGAGAAGCAGCGAGGGGGAGACACAGAAACATCAATGATGAGAGAGAATCATTGATCAGCACGCTCCACACTGGGATCAGGCCCACAACTTCGGGATGTGCCCTGACCGCGAATCGAACCGTGGCCTCCTGGTTCACAGGTCAGTGCTTAACCACTGGGCCACGCCGGCCCAGACCATTTTTTTTTTTTTTTTTACAAAAGCAGACAGCAAGATGTAAGCTGTAGTTTTCCTAACTCTGGTTCAGGAACAAATACCACTTCTGAAAAAGTCTTTCCTGGTGCCCATCACAACCAGTGGCTTTATCTTCCTTCCCTCTGCTTACTCTTCCTTATTGCTTGTGAAACTACTTCTGGCATTTATTATGTCTTATTATATAATCATCTACATTAGCAAGTAAGTCTGTGAAGGTAGATGCCATTTTGCTACATGAACTCCCCTATACCTACTCCAATGAGTTCTTTGCAGAATCGTCTGAATATTGTTTCCAAAAACCAAATCCACCCTAACAGGAAGATCTGGTACCACTTCATATTGAAAAACGAGCGGTAGGTTGTTCTGAAAGTAAATTTGAAGGAAACAAGGGCAGGAAAGCACTACTGCTATTACTAGAGTACATATATTGCCTCTTATGCTCTATACTGTAACGTGTTCACCACTAGCTAATGATCAGACCTTGTGAGTTGATAGAGAATAAAAAAAAAAGGTAGTAGAGATTAGGTTGGCACAGGAATGCCCCTATGCCCGCCCCCTTACTCCCACTACAGTATCTGGAGTACTATTCGATTTAGTTGATACATGATAAGTGCCCAACAAATTTAAAACATAATATACTCAACAAGAACCTTTTCTTTTTCTCAACAGGGAGGAGGTGGCAGCAGACACCTACAGAAGGGCCTAGAGGCCTGACAACCGCAGCAGGTGGTCCCGGGTTCCCTCCCTCACATTCGCTTTCTCGGTTGGGGGGGGGGGGAATAAAGGCTTCCCTGCCTATGATAGAATCCCAGATTCCAAACCAAAGATAGAAGAAGAGAGAAAGGTACATGAATAACTTGTGTGCGAAGTGTCCCCAACCCCAGGAACAGAAGACATGGGATTAGGGGCAGAGGCAGACCCCGGATCAGATTCCTGGAGAGAGCGAGCGTGTCGGCTGCTCCAGACCAGGGGACCGCAGGGAAGGATGTGGGGGCGCACGGGGCAAAGATGTGAGGTGCCCACTAAGCCCAGACAGCCAGCCTCTTAAAACAGAGGTGAGTGCTAAGAAAGGATAGGTTACAGAGTGAAAAAGAAGGGGATGTGAGGTGAGAAAAAGGCCAAAGCAGGGGAGAAATTTTACAAGAATGGGGAGTAATATTGAATTAAGAATTTAGAGTTGAGTGAAAGGTTTATTATTAGTGCAGTCAACACTACGGAACAGCACATATAACACAACCAGCAACCTGCAGAGACACTAGTGCAAAGGGTGGGGAAGCCTGAACTGAGCTTCCTGGCTCCATCTGAGGGAGACGACAGGTGGGAGGGGCCTCGGGAAGGCTGGCAGGGGCAGCGGGGAGCGGAAGAAATGTAGTAACCAGATTAAGTATAGCAGCGTTTTCAAATTCCTGAGCACAATGTCCTGGAGCTGGAACATATGACTGTCCCCTACTCCCTGCAAGCTGTATCCCTCCAATTCAATCCCAGTGGAGCCAGGACAACTACCCAGACCTACAGCAAGCTGGCCTGGGCTAAACTCCCAAAGAGGAGATGTTAAATGGCCTTCTTTCTTCAACCCCACTCCCACCTACAAATTAAAATACTCACACCTGCTATCCCTCCCCTTCTCTCACTCTGCAGTCAACCTAGTGGGTCAAGGAATGCCTGGGCAGCCTGAAATAGAGCCGGGTGAGAGTACTGTACTCAGAGACCAAGACATAATTTCTGTCCCATCTTGCCTGGTGAAGCTTAGAACCCAGCTATACATCTCCAAGGAAATGGGGTGGTTTCTTCAAAATTAATCCTCTAAATCCAAAGTTTTATGATGGGACCCTGGGAGGGCCGGGAGCACAGTTCCCAGGGGCTCAGACATCAATGCGGACTGCACACCGTCCCTGGAGAAAGCAGCTCCTCATCCCAGTGTGGGTTATGGAGGGCTGGGGCAGACGTAAGTTCAGCCAAGGACTCCCTTGGCCCTTCCTACATTAAAGCCAAAGGTTGTGCTGAAAAGGAAAAATATAAAACAGACCCCACCCCTGTCCCACCCTATTCAGAATCCCCACCGTAGGAACAATGAAAGAAAAAATTTTAAGTTTTGTTCATTTTTTTTCTTTTTCCTTTCTTTAAAAAAAAAAAGTAAATAAATTAAATTGCCACAATGTGGCTGGGCTGGAGAAGTGGGGTAGCCATAAGTAGGCCGTTCTAAAAAAAAAAAAAAAAAAATGTGGGAGGGAATGAAATATAAACACACAACAATGGCCAAAGGGAATTATCAAAATGACTAGTTACAATCACGGGGCTGGAGAGGGGCTGGGGGACGGTGATGCCTGTGCCACTGAGGCAGTTCCTAGCTGATCTCAGCCACTGCCAGAGAGCTGCTTCCTGCTGAGCACATTCACCCCAAGAGACTAGCCCCTCCTCCCACTCCTGTCATTCCTTAATTGAGAGAAAGTTTAGGAAGGAAGAGCTCCTCTGGAAATTTGCGGCATCCCAACCTGCACACCTGCAGACCGATGGGAGCCTGCACCTTTAAAATGGACTAAACAGGTATTGCTTGGCACAGAGTTCCAGTCTTCCCCTAAGGGCCATGAATGAAGCCAGTTACTGGCTCACTTACTTCTAGGGTTTGGGTTCCGCCCTTACTATGTCTTCAGGATGTCTGCTCCCCAGAGCTGCCTGCTAAGTGTTGAGAGTCAACAGGCCTGCCTGCTCAGATTCCCTGGTTTGAAGGAGGGGAATGATTCAAGATTTCTCACTCCGCCCTGATCCTTCAAGAGAAAATGAGTAACTTTGTGCTTTCTAAAAATATCTGGAACCAGGGATCCTAGGCAGGAAAACAGATATAGAATGGGGGCTTTCCCAACCAGACTGGAAATTCACAGGCATCGTAGGGGAAGGAATTAGGCAAAAGAAGGGAATCTGGGTTTCCCACCTAGAAGGCTGAGCAAAGTGTTCCAGGGCCCTTCAGTGCCAGAAGAGCAGGGAGAAGTGTGGCCAAGTATAAGCCACAAGATGAAGGACAGTGGGGAGGACTCAGGGCTCAGCTACTGGGGTGACGAGATCTTCTGATCTCCATCTCTTCCCGGCAGCCCGCCGAGGTCTAGATCTCCTCCACGCCGTGGGCGAAGATCATGACGAGCCCCGGCTCCTGCACCATGTCGTCGCCCATGTGCTGGTTCTCGCAGGCCATCACGACGACAGCCTGCTTGCCAGGGATGCGCTTGGCCACATAGTTCTCATAGTACCGCCGGTTCATCTGTCTCGTCTCTAGAGTGGCCAGGCCCTGGGGCCAGCTCCGCTCGTGGGCATTTTCTATCAGCTCGTTGACAATCGAGGCAGGACACCCACTCTCCACCAGGGAGCGCTTGATTACAGCCTGGAGGACAGCATCTGGGGTGGAGATCATCCCTCCCCAGCGGGTCACTCTTGCTGGCTGCAGCGAGTTCACCCACCTGTGTGGAGGGAGATGGAGGTGGTCATTCCAGCTCACCAGCTATCTCTACACTGCTTCTTTCCCTTATAGGAGCCACCACCCACCTGCACTTAGCTTAACCCTATTCTGCCTGCCTCCCTCCCATCCATTCATCATTGGTTCACAAACTCCTCATCTGTCCCTAGTTGGTCCCATCTGAGTCACCATATGTTACTCACCAGATTAAGCTCCACAAATATAGGGTCCCTATTGTTTTTCTTAAAAATCACAATACTTAGCACACACAGTGCCTGGCATGTACTAGGTGCTCAACAAATGTTTACTGAAGGAAGCAATTATTCCTCTATTCCCGTGGTCGGCAAACTGTGGCTCTCGAGCCACAAGCTACTCTTTGGCCCCTTGAGTGCAGCTCTTCCACAAAATAGCACGGTGTGGGTGAGGCTATTTTGAAGAAGTGGCGTTAGAAGTTTAAAAAATGTGGCTCTCAAAAGAAATGCCAATCATTGTACTGTTGATATTTGGCTCTCTTGACTGAGTTTGCTGACCACTGCTCTATACTATGTCCCATGCAGCCCAGCCTCCTATCCTCCTTCTCTGCCACTCCCCTGCTCTCCTCCTTTCAGGGCTCAGTGCCAGGATGTGGAGTAACGCCACGTCCTGAATGACACTCACTCTAGGATCTCATTGTATTCAATTGTCTCCTCCAGGTTCTGAAGGTTGGGGTTGACACTGCGGAGTGCACGCATGTATGCCTTCAGCAGCTGGATGTCTCGCTTCTGTTGGAGAGAAAGAGAACCAGCGATGATGATTAAGGCAGAGAACAGATGACAGGCAACAGTTTATCTGAGAATGCGGGCAACTGAGAGATCAGAGTAACTACCAGATGGTAAGCATCATGAGGATAAGGATAGGACTGTGTCATTCACAGGTGTATCCTATGCTTATCAAAGTGTTCAAAGAGAAGGCATTTTATAAATGTTAGGTGAATGAATGACAGTGAGGGGATGAAGGGAAGGGAGAAGAGCTGCAGTACTGAACCACAGGGAGAGTATCTACCCAGCCAGGTGCACAAGCACCTCACATGGTGCTTATCATTCACAAGCATGTGGTCCTTTGCACACTGGGGACATGCTTTCCCATGTTCTATGGGCCCTACCTGCTCTGACAGCTGGTGCTTGTGTTCAGCCGAGGACTTCTCCAGCTCTGCGATGCGTGTCTGCTGCTGCTGCACCACCGAGCGCAGGTGCTTCACGCAGTTGTGGTTTGGCAGCTCATCTTTGGGCATCTCCAGGCTGCCCCGGGTGGGAAAGAGAACAGGAGCGCTCAATGGGACACGCGGGCAAAGGCAACAGCTTGCCAAGAGGGCTTTCTCTTACCCCACATTCCAACATGCACTCATTTCTAACTTATTTCTCTTCACTCTCCTCCCCAGGCCCTTCTCACCCCTTCTCTATCTCCTTTCTCTGGGCTTCTGTCCCTCTCTGAGACAGTATTTTACCTGACCCACGGCTCTCTTCTCCTTCAGATTCTGCCCGTGCATTCATTCATGAGAAGCCCTAGATTCACAGTCCTGGCTATCGGCATTTAATCAAATAGTTCACACCCCCAAAAAGGGAGAAAATAGGGTAAGAGGAAATATGAGAAGGCTGGAAATTAGAGCAGTCAAATAAACAAGGAGAAAGTAATAATGGACTGAAAGAATAAAGTAAGTCAAGTCTTTGGTGTTATCGCAGATTGCTGAATTGCTGTCTCACTTATATTAAAGCAAGAGCAAAACGGTCACAGCTGGAAATGCAGTATGAAAGTGAGATGCCAGGCCGGGACCAGTTTGGCTCAATGGATAGAGCGTCGGCTTGGGGACTGAAAGGTCCCGGGTTCGATTCCGGTCAAGGGCATGTACCTTGGTTGCGGGCATATCCCCAGTAGGGGTGTGCAAGAGGCAGCTGATCGATGACTCTCTCTCATCGATGTTTCTAACTCTCTATCTCTCTCCCTTTCTCTCTGTATAAAAATCAATAAAATATATATTAAAAAAAAAAAAAAAAAAGTGAGATGCCAGGATGGCCAAGAACACTCCCTGCAGTGCCTCTATGCCCCTCGACAGTGAGCAGGGGATCCAGAGCCTGGGGTATGACAGGGAACGCCCTTATCCACGCGGGCAGAGGGGAAGACTCTCACCCGCAGCCCTGTTCACAGGTCACAGGCCGTTTTGGGTTGTGCTCACAGTCACTGAGGTGAGACATGAGGTTGTCAAGCCGAACAACAGCACTACAGCCAAACACAGCGTTGTCGCAGGCGATCTGCAGCTTTGACAACATGTTCCGCATGATCCGAGGCACTGGGCGCAGGTGGGCGACCGTCACTACGCTGCGGTCCACCGGGCACGTCTGCTGCTGAGAGAACCACTGGGTGATGCAGGCATTGCAGAAAGCATGCTCACAGTGAGGTGCCTACAGAGAGGAGGGCAAAAGGACACAAGAGAATTAGCAGGAGCTCAGAGCCTCTATATGTAACTGGTAAAGCCAATCAAGCCTCTGAGCAGCTTCCAGGACCACAGATCCCTGGGGTCACAGCAAAATATAGCTGCACTACCTATGGGCAAGCAGGTACACAGTCTACAGATGTTTCCTGTGCTCACGATTCCAATTGGATGTGACAAAAGACAAACAAGTAGCAATAAGTTATGTAACATGATATAAATATTCCAGGACAATAGGAGAGGTGATGTGAGGCAGTCAATTAGTAATTGCCAACTGGATTGCACATACGATAATTGGGAAGAAATTCAGAGGAGGGTGAAACTTTCCAAGCTAGGTCAATCAGGGCAGGTGCTTATGGTGAGGACAGAATTCAATACGGGCCCTGAAGGGTGAGAGGGTGATGGCCAGCAAGAGATTTACTGGCCAAAGTTCAATGTAAGAAAGCAAAACAAAACAAAAGCCTGGAACTCCTGGTGAGAGAGGTTAAGAGTCCTCTGTGTGGGCCCAAGTGCATATTTTTAGGGCTGCTTTGTCCTGAGTCCCAAAGGCTATGCCTTCCAAAACAGCTGGTTTTTCGTAGAATCACATTCTCCTCAGTTTCATTAAGATCATACTTCAGCCTACTTCCTAGATAACTCCGGTAACCTGTAGTTAATCCCTCAGCGTGAGAGGATCCTCTGCCTCTATGGAGACACTATCTAGCGTCTAGCATGGGACAGACTTAGTAGCATTTAGTAGATGCTGATGGATGGGTGGATGGATGGATGAATGAAATGCCTTCTACATTCCCCAACACTTTGCTAGGTGCGTACAATGAAAAAAGCAGTTTCTGCCTCCAAGATATTCAGACACCAAAGACTGAAACAGAGGCTTTGTAAGGGAAGAAGTCACTGTCAATATCACTAATCCAATTGTCAGATTTTTATTTTCCACTCAAAGATATCTGATTCTTTCCTAAATCTTAGAAACCATATCTCAAAAAATCTTAAATCTGTCAACTTTCCCCCCATTTCTACCGCAACTAACCCAGTGCAAGTGATCATTTCTCAGCTGTATTACTAAATATGTCTTTAACTTCTACCTTGCTCCTTTATATTCCATTAGTGGCCTGGTGCACAAAATTCGTGCACTGGGTGGGGGTGTGCCTCATTCCAGCCTGCACCCTCTCCAATCTGGGACTCCTTGGACATCCCTCTTGCAATCCAGGACCGCTGGCTCCTAACCGCTCACCTACCTGCTTGTCTGCTTGCCCCTAACCACTCTGCCTACCAGCCTGCTTCCCCCAACTACCCCTCAGCCAGCCTACTCATCCCCAACTGCCCGCCCCCCCGCCAGCTTGATTGTCTCCACCTGCCCCCTTGATGGCCTGCTTGCCCCCAATTGCCCCTCCCGCTGGCCTGCTCACCCCCAACTGTCCCTCTGCTGGCCTGATTGCTTCCAATTGTCCCCCCGCCCCCCGCCTCGCTTGCCGGCCTGCTCATCCCCAATTGCCCATCCCTGCCGGCCTGCTCATCCCCAACTGCCCTCCCCTCCTGGCCTGTCATCCCTAAGTCATCCCTCTGCCTCAGCTGTGCCACCATGGCTTTGTCCAGAAGGTCTCCAGGTCTCACTAGCATATTATCCTTTTATTAGTATAGATTCTATCTTCAGAGCTAGAGCAATCATTTAAAATTACAGAGTACTTACCTTTACAATGGCGTCCCATTGTACTGAAATAAATCCAGACAGCCACTCACCTCAGGACTGCAATGTTCTGCTTGATCTGACCTGTGCCTGTGCCTTACCTCTTACCCCACACTGCCAACACTGTGCTCAGGCCATTTTGGCTTTCTTTCTGTTCCTTGTCCACACACACACCCACACAGTCCTGCCTCAGGAACTTTGCTTTTGATGCTCTTCGCCTGAAATCTTAGCCTCTATATCTTAGCCTGAATAGTCCCCTTATTCAGATCTCAGCTCTACTGTCATCTTTTGTGATCTTAACTAAGCCTGCCACCCTTGCAGAAATATACAGAATGTACTACTTTCATGTAAGAAAGGCGGGCAAACATATATCTGCCCTCATATATACTGGCAGGATATTAAATAAACTAATAGATATCAAAAGGGGGATTAGGTAGATAGGCCAGGGATGCAAGAGTTTGCACTGTACACCATTTAAAAAATTTCTTTAAAAAAGATTGATTTGAGGCTCAGTGGTAGAGCCTCGGTCTGCGGACTGAAAGGTCCTGGGTTGGATTCTGGTCAAAGGCATGTACCTTGGTTGCGGGGACATCCCCTGTAGGGGGTGTGCAAGAGGCAGCTGGTCGATGTTTCTCTCTCATCAACATTTCAAGCTCTCTCTCTCTCTCCCTTCCTCTCTGTAAAAAATCAATAAAATATATTTGGGAAAAAAAAATTTTAATTTGAGAAAGGAAGGCGGGGAGAGGAGGAAGAAAAACATCCATTTGTTGTTCCATTTATTTATGCATTCATTGGTTGATTCTTATATGTGCCCTGGTCGGGGATCCAATCCACAACCTTGGCTTATTGGGACAATGCTCTAACCAACTGAGCTACCCAGCCAGGGCCCTGTATACCTTTTCTTACTGTTTTGATTTCTAAACCATGTGAATGTGTTACCCATTCAAAAAAATAAACCACCATGATATAGGGAGATCAGCATCCCTAGCAGGGGCCTCCTGCCCTTGGAAATGTGGCTGGTCACTGGCATCGCGCGGTCTGCCCTCCAGAAGGTAAACCCTGAAGGCTGGGGAGCAGGTGTCTGGATTTATTTCAGTACAATGGGACGCCACTGTAAAGGTAAGCAGGGGATGATATGATCCAGTCTGTAATTTCAAATGATTGCTCTGGCTCTGAAGAGAGAATCTATACTGAACCACTGCCCATGGCCTCTCCACGTGTCCCAGCTCTGACAGAGCCAGAAAACAGACCAGGGCCTGCCCCGCGGGGGGGGGGAACTGACACACCCAGGACGTCTGGCACCATCAGGATAGCTTGCTCCACACCAGTCAACCTGCCTCCAGTAGCAGTGAGCTACGAAGGCCTGAAGACAGGGCGAGTCCAGGGCTGGCTGCCGCTGGAGCAGAAACGGACTCATCTGGCTCTGTGCTCCTTTGGTGGTTGGAAACTGGAGTAAGAGTGGCCACAAAGGATGAAGACGAGCTGGGATGTAGTGAGCTGTGTGACAGTGAGGGGAGAAGGGCCAGGAGACGTCCCTGATAAGTGTCCTGGTTTGGAAAATGGGATGATCCTAGCTAGCCAGGGTGGCAGAGGATTAACTGGTATTTACAGAGTTCAGGCAGTAAGGGCCATGCAGGATGATGTCCCAGGAATACAACTGTTAAGAACTCATCTCACTCATTATACTTGCCTGTTGGTCATGAGGTTCTCCTCATACTTACCCCAGGAAGATACAACTGACTCTGGTCTGGCAAGGCTGGTAGAGAAATGACCTATTTAATTCTAATGAGTTAAGATATTACAGAAGATGGCAGCTTTCATATCAAATGCAGAGTACATGGCTGCATCAGAAACTGATTTTTCCAACAAATCCCAGGAAGAAAATAGGTCAGTACACATGGTTTCCCACTTCCCATTTGTTCAACAGTAGGCGGGGCCTGTAGGGAAACTGGCTGATTACCCAAAACACTACGCGGATCAAAATGCAGAGAGAACTTATCGGAGAGTCCAGAGGTTTAATCACGGGTTGGAAGACAGAACTAGTCAGAGCCGCTGCAGAGCAAAGGAAGTTCTCAAGCGACTTTCAAAAGACAAAAAACAAAAAACTGACCATTTCACAGCAGAAAAATCTCAGAGCGAACTGGGGAGAAAATTGGGAGCACTGGCCCTCTGGAAGGACTTGTTCCTCTCGTAGTGGCCACTGCTCTTCTGCCCCAAACTTCTGTTCTGTGTGTGTGTGTGTGTGTGTGTGTGTGTGTGTGTGTGAAGCGGGGAGAGAGGTACTGGGGCGTCACAACACAGTGCCCCCCTTTATTGGTCCCATGATCTATGACTACTTTCCATGAGCTCCATTGCCATCTCTTGCCTCACTACATCTGCCAGCGGATGGACTCACCTGGACTGGCTCCTCCAAGACTCCACTGCAAATAGGACAGATAAGATCTTCGTCAACATCCCCCTGGAAGCGAGTTACATCATACCCCATGTCTCATCACTGAAACTTAGGCCCTGGGAGGAACCAGAGGAAAAAGAGGCAGGTTCAGAAGAAGCCTACAAACAAGTACCAACTTGAACTCGTTGCTAAGATCCATTCATTTGTCCAACAATTATTATTTTTAAAAATATGTATTTTTATTTACTTCAGAAAGGGAGAGCGAGAGAGAATAGAAACATCAATGATGAAAGAGAATCATTGATTGGCTGCTTCCTGCACTCCCTCTGGGTTTCAAGCCTGCACAGGCATGTGCCCTTGACTAGAATTGAACCTGGGACCCTTCAGTCTGCAGGCCAATGCTCTATCCACTGAACCAAACCAGCTAGGGCCCAACAATTATTTATTAACGACCTATTATATGTCAGTCTTTTTTTTTTTTTTTTTTTTTGAGGAGGTTGGAGAAGCGGACTTAATGAAATTTAATTCTAATGAGTTAAGATATACAGCATACATTTAAAATATGAAGTGAGCCCAGCCGGTGTGGCTCTCTGGTTGAGCGTTGACCTATGAACCAAGAGGTCACAGTTTTGTTTTGTTTTGTTTTTTTAAAATATATTTTATTGATTTTGGAAGACAGAGTGAAAGGGAGAGGGATAGAGAGCTAGAAACATCGATGAGAGAGATACAACGACCAGCTGCCTCCTGCACACCCCCCAACAGGGATGTGCCCGCAACCAATGTATATGCCCTTGACCGAACTGAACCTGGGACTCTTCAGTCCGCAGACCGTCACTCTATCCACTGAGCCAAACCGGTTTTGGCTAAGAGGTCACAGTTTGATTCCTGATCAGGGCGCATGACCAGATTACAGGCTCAATTCTCAGTGGGGGGGCATACAGGGGGCAGCCAATTGGTGATTCTCTCTCATCATTTATTTTTCCATCTCTCTCTCTTTCTCTCTGAAATCTATAAAAAAACTTTTCTAAGTGATAAATGCTTTGACAGAGTAAGGCATTGTAAGGTTATAAGGGCAAGAGACGTAGATACCTAACCAGGCTTAGGGGAGAGGGTGATTTTTTTTTTGCTTGCTTGTTTGTTTTTAATATATTTTATTGATTTTCTTACAGAGAGAAAGGGAGAGAGATAGTTAGAAACATTGATCAGCTGCCTCTTGCACACCCCCTACCTGGGATGTGCCCACAACCAAGGTACATGCCCTTGACCAGAATCGAACCTGGGACCTTTCAGTCCACAGGCCGACACTCTATCCACTGAGCCAAACTGGTTTCGGCTAAAAATATATTTTTATTGAGAGAAAGGGAGAGGTATAGAGAGACAGAAATATTGATGTGAGAGGAACATCATCAATCAAGGCAGCAACCTGGGCTTGTGTCCTTACTAGGAATCGAACTGGCAACCTCTTGGTTCCTGGGTCAATGCTCAACTGCTGAGCTACTCTGGCCTGGCATGCTGTCCAATTTTTGAAAAAGTAGGGGAGGAATGAATCCAAAGAGGCCTTGCTAGGTCAAGCATAAGCTAAAGTACAGCACTGGATTGAGTCAGAACTGAGAATGTGCCAGTTCTACTACTCATTCATTAGCTGTGTGACCTTGGGCAGACCACATAAACTTCTGAAGCCTAAGTAGTTTTTTATAAGTAGCTAAAATGGATATCTATACCAATAAAAGGTAATTAGACCCCATCAACCAGACATCTTCCAGTTGTCCTGCCTTTCTTCCAGACAAAACCACGGTGGTGGGGGCTGAGGCAGAGGTGGTTATGGGTGATCAGGCCGGCAGGGGAGGGCAGTTAGGGGCTATCAGGCTGGAAAGCAGAGAGATGTCTGACTGCCGGTTTAGGCCTTATCCCACAGGATTGGGCCTAAACCGGCAGTCGGACATCCCCTCAGGGGTCCCAGAGAAGAGAGAGTGCAGGCCAAGCTGAAAGACCCCCCTATCCCCCATGCACGAATTCCATGTACCAGGCCTCTAGTAAATAATAATAGAAGTGACTCTCACAGCCGAAACCGGTTTAGCTCAGTGGATAGAGCGTCGGCCTGCAAACTGAAAAGTCCCGGGTTCAATTCTGGTCAAGGGCATGTACCTTGGTTGCAGGCATATCACCAGTAGGGGGTGTGCAAGAGGCAGCTGATCAATGACTCTCTCTCATCGATGTTTCTAACTCTCTATCCCTCTCTCTTCCTCTCTAAAAAATCAATAAAATAAAAAAAATAAAAAGTTAAGTTCTGTTAAAAAAAAAATAATAAAAAAAGAAGTGACTCTCACAGAGATAATGCATATTAAACATTTAGCAGTGCCTCCTAGCACACAGTTGATACTCAATACGATAATAACCATTATCTGTGTATGCATCTAATTTCTACTACTTGAAAAAATTCCTTAAGAGCAGAAACTCATATTCTGCATTCAATGTAGCACCAAGCAGTTCCTCGTTTGGTATATTTCAATGTTACCTTTAACTGGGAGATTCCCTAGTTTAGGACTGGGGTGTTGATCTGTGAGTGCCTTGGGTGGGGCCTGGATGAGGCTGGTGGACCTATTGGGAAATGTCTTTTGTGTGAAGTGTATCATTGGGCATGTGGAGGTATTATTGATATGAGAAAATGCTAAGTAACTGATTTACTATCTGAAAAGGGATTTACTATTGGGGAAAGGGAGGGAAGAAGAGACTGAACATAAACTGCACCTATGGATGAGGACAATGGGGGATGGGGAGGAGGCAGAGGGTGGGGTGGGAATCTGGTGGAGGGGGGAAGAAATGAGGAACCTTTGTAATAATATGAACAATAAAGATTGATTTAAAAAACAAAAACAAAAACAAAAAAACAAAAAAATAACTGGGAGATTCCCAGCAATCAGGGTATAGTGAACTTCTATTTTACCCACAGAGCATCTTACTTTCCTGTTTCCTTTAGGAACCATCCCCTAGTTCCTAGTGGACATATGAACCACACCGGGACAACGGATTGGGGGTACAGGGCCTCTCCTGAAGCTCTCCAGGGAAGCTTTCCCCTGGGATTGCACAGCTGGTGGGACATACAACTCAGAGTGGTTGGCAACCATCTCTGCCATGAATGAGGACATAAAGCCAATAAGACAGTAAAGCTGAGGTCTAATTCAGAGATTACTGAGGTGCTGGATTCAGCCATGTGTAAAGCCACAACCAGCTTTTCAATATCAGTTACATAAACCAAAATATTCTCTATTATCCTTAGGCTGGTTTGAGCTGTGTTTTTGTCTCTTTCAACTGATAAAAATCCTGATTAATACACAAGCATATAGATACAATAAATCACAAGGTTCTCTTTGGAACCACTTATTTTTCTTGATCCATTTTATATAGGAACAATGATACCCCTGGCACTGCTACAAGTACAGACCTCCATGATTATCATTTCTCTCTATACTTGTTCCTCCATCGCTAGGGCCTTAAAGTTCAGGGCCTTGTGCTTACTGATAATCCTTCTGAAATCATCACTGTCACCCACCTAGGCCTGGCTATTTGAAGTGGAAGCCACACTGCAGTGGTTCAAAGTGAACAAGAGGTGAGACAGAGACAGGAACTAAAGATAACTAATCAAAAAGCTTCATTTCAAAGGAAAGGAAAGAGAAATCACTAGAGGAAGACAGGTTGAGGAAGTGAGTTGTGTTGGGGTGTTTTGTTTTTTTCTTCATCTTTAGCTGAGGACATGTTTTTATTGATTTTAGAGACAAAGGAAGGGGGAGAAAAAGAGAGACTGACTAATGTGAAGAGAGAAACATTGGTTGCAACCTACACCCTAGGTATGTGCCCTGATTGGAATCAAACCTGCAACATTTTGGTATATGGGATGCCGTTCCAACTGACTGAGCCACCTAGCCAGGCCAGGGGATGTTTTTCTTGCGGTAAATACAAGAGAGAATCTGGTCACTGTGGTAGTGCTAAGTAGGGAGGTGATTTGGACTATGTTAAATAGAAAGAGGGACACCTCTAAAGCAGGAAAGGGAAGATGGTACAAAGAGAGACCCACATAGGTTTTACTTTTATTATTTTTAAAATGTTTTTATAATTTCAAAGAGGGAGAGGGAGTGATAGAAAGATCAATGATGAGAGAGAATAATTTATTAGCTGCCTCCTGCATGTCCCCCCTATGAGGAATCAAGTCCACAACCCTGGTATGTGCCTTTGAGTGGAATCGAACCTGGAATCATTCAGTCTGCAGGCCTACACTCTATTCACTGAGCAAAACTGGCTAGTGCAAGACAGTGTGGCTCAGGACAGCATGGCTCAGTTGGTTGAGCATCATCCTATGCACCAAAAAATCTTCAGTTCAATTCCGTAATTCCTTGTCAGGGCACATGCCCAGGTTAGGTGTGATCACCCACAACTGCCCTCACTTGCAGGCCTGGACCCTCCCAACTGTTCTCCCCTTCTGGCCATCTTGTGGTGGCCATCTTGTGTCCACATGGAGGCAGGATCTTTGACCACATGGGGGCAGCCATCTTATGTTTTGGAGTGATGGTCAATCTGCATATTACTCTTTTATTAGATAGGATAGAGGCCCGGTGTACGGGTGTGGGCCAGCTTGTTTTCCCTGAAGGATGTCCCAGATCAGGGTGGGGGTTCCCTTGGGGTTTGGGGCGGCCTGAGCGAGGGGCCAGCCATGCCCACTGGCGACCCAAGTGGAGGCCCTAGTATCTGGAATTTATTTACCTTCTAAATTGAAACTTTGTAGCTTGGAGCAGAGCCAAGCCTTCTGCTTGCTCCATGGCTGCCACCATTTCTGTTTGGATTTGTTTACCTTCTATAATTGAAACTTTGTAGTCTTGAGTGGAGGCTTAGGCGACTAGGGCAGGTGGAAAGCTTGGCTTCTTCCATTGCCAGAGAAACCAAAGCCTGCCTCCTGCTCTCTGTGGCCACAGCCATAATGGTTGGAGTTAATTTGCATACTCACTCTGATTGGCTGGTGGGCATGGCTTATGGGTATAGCGGAGGTATGGTCAACTTGCATATTATGGATATTATGCTCTTATTAGATAAGATATCTTCCT